ATGATCATTGCAATATGTTGGGTAAATGCATATGTTCGGTGAACGTATGAAAGCGAACAATTGAGAATGGAGAATTTGTGTTGTGAAATGAGGAAGACTTAGCAAACCAATCTTTATTCGCACTAATGTTCAGTTAATAATAATAAAAATATAACTCAGTACTCACTGCAGTGAGTTACAGAGAGCGCATTTGCTCGTCGACGAAAACTTGAGGTCACGGACGGACGGACAGACAGACGGACAAGGCGAGCACAATAGTGAATTTTTTCCATAAATGAGAAAATGCGCCAATAATAATAGCGGTTTCAGCGTTTAGTAGGCCGTAGGCCTGTCGCCGATTCTCAAGATCGTAGAACATTCACAGCATTTTGCGGTCTCGAACTCGCAACTCACTGCTATAATTCTGCTGTGCTTAACCGCCCGGCCTCCTTGCCGATTCTGACCAGAAACTGTTGCAGGTAGCTGGGATCGAACCTGCGCCAATCATGGTATTCTGAACTGTAACCACTGGGCTGTTACTTGAAATAGCAGTAACTGATGTTAAATATTAATTAGTTTGGCATAGCGCAAATATAACAAGCAACGCAAACAATTATACAGCGGATTTAAAGTCAACAATGTTCGTGGCAGAGAACGTACATTACATAACGACAGCGGTTAGAACATTTCAGATAGACGGGTACATTGACACTGATGCGGTGTTGATTGTTAAAGTCAGACCATCAAACGTCAGTTGTCATTTAAAATGAGCTTTATTCATTTAGAAATAAGTACTATTTTACTTCACCCCTCCCAAAATACGTCGCTTAGTCCGAAAATAATTTTCTATTCAAACGAAATATAAACCTATTAAAGCGAATATTCATACACTACTCTGCTTATTAATAACTGTAGCAATCTGGAGGTCTTCGTATTTTTGTCGATTTTCTGGGGACGGGAGAAGGAACCAGTTCAGTTTCCTTCTCTGCTTGTTACATTGACTGCTGGGACACTGGTACAAGTTCCCCGTCATCCTGCAGTGGGGCAGGTTGAAGGTAGGAGCCAGGAGGATCGAGATTTTGATCCTGACGAAGTGAAGTCGGATCTCGTTGGAGAGGTGAAGTCGGCTCACGGACCTTTGCGTTGTCTACTAAGCCGCCGAGTGGAGAGTCCGAAGACAGGGCTCTCGGTCTTGTACCGACACGGTCTCTGGCATGAGAGTGTGTGAGGTAAACATTGTGGTTTTATGTTTTTCTAAAGCGTACTTTCGATTCGAAAGTTTGATGGCGAAATTGGCTGCTTCTACAAGGGATCGCAGCAAAGTAGAGAATGTTTGCTACTCGTATTTCAATATCTAACTCCAGGTGGCCGTCCGTAGTCTACACTCACGCTTCTTCATGATTAGTATAACTCGCGCCGACATTTTTCTTAAAGTTGTGTGATTAAAATAACATAGTTTTGGTGTGGCGTGTGATGTTCGAAACACTATTGCGAAACATTCAGCTGTTCAAGTCAAGCGTTCGCTTCTGTTGACTAATCTAACCTGTGTCCAGCTCATATTCCACCGTGTGGTAATATTGTCAGTATGGGGAGTGATGGAGAGCGCCTGTGAGCTGCTACGCTGCAAATTGAACAAATGTGTCCCAATATCCAATAGCCTTAACTTGATATTTTACTCAGGTTTTGATATTTTACTTCAAATTTCTCCACTGCTGCGTGAGAGCTTCAGCATGACTTCGTTCTCTTGTTTACGATTGATTTTAACGAATAATTTTCACGTAACTGCTGCCTAGAAGCAAGTAGTAGCTGCAACCGCTTCTATTTGGGTTCATAATAGCTGCGTTAGCCATCGTGAGGAGTACATTAGGCTGGGACTTGATGGCAATGTCATTCCTATGCCATCGCCACTTACAGACACAAGCCCCCTACCCAGGCTAAAGGTGCTTAGACACGGGGCTATTAGTTGTGTCTACTAGGCGACGCAAGTAAAATTTGTAATGCTTGACTGCGTCCCCAATAAACCAGCTAGTTGCCTCTGAACACGTCAAGCATTACAAATTTGGGACGCAGTATAGACCCCTACATAGCCCTTGCCCACAATTCAATATGTATTCCTTTCCGCTCGTAATAACGCTAGAGGGCATATTAGCCTGTGTGATTAAGTGCCTAAAGCCATAGGTGTCATTTCCTTTCCTGGATATGAATCAATCAGCCAACTGACATCAAGCCACCGAAGCAACAGCCGTGGGCAAATAGCCAAACTGTTGCGTGCTGGTATTATACACAGCCTGGCGTATTCGCGGCTTTGAAAATAAGCGCCCGACATAACAGCGCCTTTACGTCGCAGCCACTGCTTCATGGCGCTCTACTCCACAGGCTAAAGCGCAAACCGCCGTCCCTATAACGCCTTGCCCCGGCTCTCCCCCTCGCAGCCAATAGAAGGCTTGTCTCGTTGCCCGATCAGTAATACACCTGGCGCGATGGAAGGAGGTTTTATATGAGCTGTTCGCCGAGCAGTTCGTCTAAGCATGTTATTCGTGCTGCTAAAATTGCATCTACGCGAAATTTGTTGACATTTATTATCCTTTGGTTGTACAATAAAATGGCAATGAGACCTCGGCATTGCATCACACATCATTATTTGAAGTTCCCATTTACTCATATATTTCAGTTAGTTGCTATTGTGAACTGAACTCCATTTTATCACGTGGGCTATTTTTAAGGGAAAATAGTTATTTCCATTACATTCGATTGTAAGACTTTCAGCCGTTTCGCTTTTCAAAGTTATTTGTCCTCCACATCAATTTTAAAATGAATTGTTTGTTACTTCTTGGAGCTTTCCTATGATGCATTATTCACCAGCACTTCTTGTGACTATAATAACTATTTAAAAGATCCATTAATTGTTTGTAATAAAAATATACTGAAATGTATAGGTTCTCCTGATATTCGGAAAGACGCTTTGGCTTGTAAATGATTTACCAATAAAATCTAGACTCGGAATCAACTCTTCTCTCTTAGTCTCACTAGTAGACAGTCTTAGCCCTGTCTCTTATACACATCTAGATGTCATTAATGTAGACGATTAATGCTATGAAGTTAAATGATTAATGCCATTAATAAAGACTATGAATGCCATAGTTGAGAAAGATTGTGCAACAAGGTTACAGGGCGTGAGTGTAGTCACTCCTATTCACAATTACATCGCTAGCAAAGGAGGGGCACTTGAACGATTTTGAGCTTCTAAAAACGGCATGAAAATTTTAAGGACACCACACAGGAAAATCATGCGCGACTAGGCGATTTTATTGGAAATTATTTATTAATTAATTATTAAACAAGCCGTAAACAAACGCCCACGGCGGCACCCTGTCTAATGGTTGACAGACCTAATAGCTATTTGAGGAGTATTAGAAATTGGTATCTGCATCTCGGAACACCAGTTCTTTCTAGTATTGCCACTGTTTGATTAATTCAACTGATATTTGTTATGTGATTGCGGCGCGAGTTTAAATAGAAGCAACAACAACTGCTGCCTTACGGGTTGCAAAGAGAAAGTTTGGTGGTCAGAGTGTGTAGACTTGCCTGGGGTGTTGTGCCGGGATAAATCCCAGCCTGGGGTAGACTTCTGGCGGCGACGGCGAGAACTATCGAGTAATGCCGGCGACGTTGTTGGCTGGAAACTCGTATCTTGGCGACGTTGCTTGCACTCTCTGCACCCTGGGGACAAGGCTCTGAGCTGTGGTCAGAAAGATGTGCCAGGTGCGCAGGAATTTTTATTATCATTGCATGAATTTGTGCCCTGCGGCGTGCGCCATAATATGCTGGTAAAAAAGTGCACCGTCACCGTGTACCAGCCTGCGCCGTGCTCCTAAAGTTGTTTAAAGATGAATGCGTGGGAACGCTATCACACACAAACAAATATCTGCACCAAGTTCACTAGATTTCTAACGTGTTAACTCAGGTTCTAAGAGTTGGCACAGTTATGAATATTTATTCATTATTCATAGATCGCAATTTGGTTGGAAATTAATTACAAAAGTGAATAGTAGAAGGTGACAATCCACATGGCTTGAGATTGGTTTCTTCTAATGAACTAAATGAAGGAATGATTTTGGCAAATAGTGCAAATCTGAATGTTGTTGCGGTCTGGTCAACAGGGGTTCACAAATGCTATGTGAAGATTAGCTCAATCACCCTAAGATACAATACCTAGCTAAGCCTACCTCCAACCCTAAGAACAAATTTGGGACAATGAAACACGGGTCATTCCCAAACAACACTATACTTAAGCTAAGAACAAAGTCAAGAGCCATTGGTACCGGATAATGTCTAGGGCACCAAATATCCTTCACAGGATAAGCTAGGCAACCACCCTCCAGAGGAAAATCCCTCAGGGGTGACTGCAGTATTCTGTCCAAGAACCGAATTTTACAATATGGTCCAACTTTACGGTAAACAATAACTTTAAACAGAACCTCCTAACCTGTGACACAAGGGAATCAAAATTACAGTAAGATNTTGAAAGTGAGAATCAATCACATCTAGCGCCAAAGAATCGGTTTCTTCCTCCAAGTTGGCAGTGGTCGTTGGTTGATCACTAATTTTGATGAGCCACTCACGATGATTGGTATGGTTTTGAACCAAATACTTGTAGGCATCATCATAGGTTCCAGCCTTTTTGCATGCCACACCCTTATAATAAGGATTAAGGAGATGACCGACAGCAAGAAGCATGGTATGAACACCAGCATTAGGAAATCTTTTATCGAGCATGGCTGACAAAGTTTTCAAAAAATTTTTGCTCGTCTCTGACAAATCATCTTTGACCAATTCTACCTTATTGATGTGGTGCTGCAAATTGTGAAGATCACCAACAACAATGTGAAGAGTAGGTTTTTAGTCTGCACTAAGTCACTCAGATGTCTCTGACAACATTTTTAAAGTGGGCAACAGTTCTTCAAATATTTTAAAATCGGATTCAGAGGGTACAAGAGATGCAACATCTCCAGGGTCAATACCTGGTCTTGCTCTTATTGCAGAAAGGGGTTCTTTCATGTCGACGACGCTCTGAATACACATGTATGTAGAATTCCAGCGGGTGTTGTTTGCAGTGATGAGCTTTTTGTAGACGAACTGTGTAACATTTTCTTCTGTATCGGTCCCCATTGAAAGACTAAGGTCTCTATTCATAGCTGCAATTTCAGCCTTGATTCTTTCATTTGGCAAATGACTCTTGTGCGTCTTTTCTGCCAGCTTTTGAGCACGAGTGATTGCATGGTTTACGGTTACGGTGGCAGCAACAGTGTCCTTGATGGCCAAATTTAGGGTATGGTCCACACAGAGCAAAGACGCGTCAATAAAGGTGCACTTTGGAATTGCAGCTTTGACGTTGGCAGCATTGTCGTGAGTGACGACTACTGGAACAGTTCCTGGCGCTGGCAGCTCGGCAAAAACCCTATATATAAGAAGTGGTACAACATTTAAACAAACTTGAATGACTAGTAATATCAGCATGATGAGGTATGTCTCATAAAAACATTGAAATAACTCCTAAATTTTTTCATGTTTTAAACATAAAAAATAGCACAATAGACATGTAAGGCATAACATTCGACTGTTGTTATCAATGGACTTGATTCATGCAAAAAAAATATTTGTTCACTTACTTGTCGAGTTTTTTTTGCAATGTTGTCGGCAGTATGGCGCTCACTGAAAGGACTGACGGAAACAATGAACTTGTTCAGGATCCACTTTTTGTTAATGTAATGCACTGACAATGATTGGTATGGATCGAAGTTCCTTGAAGTCCAAATGTCCGTACTCAAAGCAATTCCTGGACTTTCTGGCAGATCATTTTTCAAAACTTGATCCACAGCCGATTTGACATTTTCGTACAGCAAAGGAAGCTTGTACCTAGAATATGTTGTGGCAGCCTTGATTTTCAGCCTCGAGTCAAAGTATTGCAAAAACTCTCTGAAAGGTCTTGCCTCTACGAATCCGAATGGAAGATTCATCCTCGCAACAAGTTTCATGATTTCCAAGTCACCTCGTAGTTGGTTTGGATCTCTGGATTTGTACTTGAAAAAATTACTTAATTTACTCTGGCTTGTCTGGCGTTCAATAAGATAATCTGGCGTTGAAAGTCTCCGCCTCTTGCGATCCTGATGGGATGTTTCACCTGAAAAAAATTTGAATAGCTTAGCATTGTTATAGCTGTTTTTGTTTCGTTCTTTTGGAGTATACGAAGAAATAAAAATTATGTGGGAATGGTTGCTAATTGTCAATGGGACAAATATTTTCAATATTAAATTATTTGGATAGGTCACACAAGAGTTTTATTCTTTAGGCATTGACAGGAACAACGCCCAAAAAATATTCAATATATATATAATATATATAGGGCTAAAACTCATAACGATATATTTCGAACAAAGTTGAAACAAGCAAATTTATGTTACAAATTAGACTCACTGGTTCCTTGTTCATTAGTCTCTTCATCACAGATGCTCTCCAGTTCGTCTAAGGGCACATCACCGTCTCTCTTTTGACCAACTTTATGTTTCTCTTTCTCCAACTTCCTAAACTCATCGATGTGCCTACGAATCAAATGTCTACGCATGCCTGAGGTGTTTCCATCGTTAACCTTGTAACTATTGCCACATAATTTACAGCGAGCATGAGCCTGACTTAGACCTAGGTTATCGTGAGCCTCGTCGGTTTTTTCTTCTTCGAAAAATTTCCAAAGGTCGCCTTTAGGCCTTGGCATCTTGAAGAGAGCAGAGAAGAGAGAACGCAGAGAACCACTCCACTGTCTACTAATTGGCCGACTAATATAGACACTGCGTCACTCCCTACTCCCTATGCGCTCCGTGGCGTCTGAACTCGTTCCGAACGCGTAATAACCACCGCACCGCACAGAAACGCATTAACTTTCTCATTAAAATTTAATAGAACACCTCGAAGAAAAATATCTCACAGACAAACGATAAATTTCAAAGATACTATTTGAGGTATGAAATACTGAATTGGCCTCCTATTAGCAATAATATATGAAGTTATGCGCTTTCGTACGAGACGACAGCAATACGCGTCACAGACGAGTCATGAACGACGTTCAGTCGAGGTGTGTTGCGGCTGCCATCGCCTAGCGATGCTTGCTTCACTGAAGAAATTTCACTTAATTATATCATGTTATTGGCCTCATGGCTGGATATTTTCTCACTCTGATGACTCATAGTAATATTTATATGGTACTTTTTCAGAAAGAGGTTTTATTTCTGACAAAAGATTTGAAGCACATGAGAACCACCATGAAAGTGAAGCGTTCGATTAAGACAAATCTCGTCTCGTCTTGTTATGTCTCGTTTCAAATCTGTCTGTCTCGTCCCGGATCATAATTTACCGGGACACAAGTTTTTAAGTCCGGGACAGAATTCTTGTCTTGGTTCATACGTTTACTCCGGGACAAATTGTACCCTCTGTTCCGTTATTTTTTTCCCGGAATTTTCTTGTCTCGTTACGTCTGTCCCGGTTCATTTTGAGAAAATTATTTCGAGACACAGGAGTCTACTATGTGGAGTAGCAGCTTGTGTGCTGAAGCAGTGTTGGTTTAAAGTTCGTGTGGTGAGATAGGTCAATTGACTACAGCTGCTTAGGTGCCAGGATGACAATATCTATAGCAATTAGATGGTTGATGTTACAACGTATTGACCGTTAACTATGTGGAGTAGCAGCTTCTGTGCTGGAGCAGTGTTGGTTTAAAGTTTGTGTGGTGAGATAGGTCAATTGAGTACAGCTGCTTAGGTGCCAGGATGACAATATCTATAGCATTTAGATGGTTGATGTTACAACGTATTGACCGTTAACTATGTGGAGTAGCAGCTTGTGTGCTGGAGCAGTGTTGGTTTAAAGTTCGTGTGGTGAGATAGGTCAATTGACTACATTTATCATGAGCGGATGAGTTAACCCTATACATGCTCATTCAGAGAAGAATGCTAAACATTGTTCCCATTTCGTTCATTATAATTAGTGTCAGTAATTACGCTTGCATCGCATTTTGTTTCGCTCCCTTGCAAAATAGATTATTTAAGCAGCGCGGGGACTTATGCGACGGTTGACAAACCACATCTCTTCAGTTGCCATGTTTCACGAGGGAATTTCTATCGTATAGACATTAGAGTTATTGAAAATCCAGTATTCTTTGCAAAGCAAATTGTCGGTGACTGCAGGAAACAAACATGTCAATCTTAATGTCAGCCAATTTTTTAATGAATTTCGATACGCCTCGTGAGCAACCTCTCGTATTTACATCCTAAACATTCATCTCTGCTTAAAATTATGGCCAATGATTGGAAAGAGAAAAAAGCCAAGTAAATTTACCACACCTTCATTGCGAAAGTTTTGTACCATAATCGGATTTAAAAATTGCAAGGAATACAAGTACCATCAATAAAGAAAGCCAAACCGCTTGCAGATCATATCCTCTTAAAATCGTTTACATACAGATTTTAATGTTCCTTAAAGCCGTAATTTTGCACTTTATTCTAAGCATTCTTTCAATCTGCCACGTGAATGAACTCCCAGAGGATAACAAATGTTCGCCCTCCCTTCATGCATCATCAGGAATTAGGTATCGTGCAGCAACAATTTCCAACAGCGTCAGATGCATGAATAACGAGCGCTGACTAGCTGCTCGGAGAGCAATAATTATTCATGCATACCCTCCCTCCATCGCGCCTGGCGCACAACTGATTAAAAAGTGGAGAAAGCCTTATGGCTGCGAAGGGGGAGAGCCGGGGCATGGCGTTATAGGGACGGCGGTTTGCGCTTTAGCCTGTGGAGTGCGACGGGATTACGCCAGTCCTGCAACAGCAGAGCAGGTTTACGATGATCCGGCGTGGTCTGCGGCCAGTAAGGCTTACGGCGTGTGTAAGAAGTGATTGTATGGGGTAAAATTCTGTGGAGTAGGACCTGTTGACAATTGACTATTTGATTCAGCAGGCTGTGGAGTGAGGTAGGTGTTGCTTAAAGTTGGTTTGGGGAGATGACTCAGTTACGTACAGCTTCTTGGGTGTGAGCTGAGTTTAGTTATTGCATTATAGGGTAGGCTTGTTTACGAGCTAAATTTGTGGTGTAGGGCTGCGCTCCCAAACATTTCAGCTCTTCTGATGAATCAGGTATACATTCATAATTTTAGCTTCCACTAATACACTATAAGTAAAAATTTTGAATCATTTTTCCAGTTATTCAAGATTGCAAATGTTTCAATTTATTGTGAGTATTTAAGCATAAAATTATGACTTAATAGGTGCTGGTAGTGACGCTGGGAACAGAAGTCCTTTTCCCAATGCATTTAATGCCGCTAGTGAAACAATGATTTCTAATCTTCAATAATAAATGGCAACGCCTCTCCCTTAAGCAAGGATTAAAACATAGAACAAAACATTTAGTTCAGAAGGAAGATGAAGGAATGCACTTGAACCTGTTACATTAAATGTAACATCCTTATACACCTCATGTATCTGAGATCACATCCAAGAATGGACAGAATTGGTAATAATCAACACCACACAGCATTGGACGAGTGGAAAATGGAGCGCTTGGGTTCATGGTATGAGTTGATGACGACTCTGGTGGCATTGGTGGGGAGACTGTAGCTGGCCAGTCTAGGAGTAATAGTGCTGGTCATATTTGGTAGCATTGGCTGAATGACGTACAGATTGTCTTCCAAGTTGTAGAATTGGTGGTTCTGTCGTGTGATTTGTGGCAAGGGTGTTGCAGATGGAGACACTGCAGATCGCTGTCTCCTTATGTCTCGCTGTGTCCTTATGTCTCGCTGTCTCCTTATGTCTCGCTGTCTTCTTATGTCTCGCTTTGTCTCCTTATGTCTCGCTATGTCTTCTTATGTGTGGCTATGTCGGATTACAATAGTCTGTATGAAAGAAACTGTAGGAAGCCGTAAAGTACAAAACGGGCGAACCGTTTTCGTGCGGGAAAAGTTCCCGTCGTTTAATTTAACGGTAAATAACCGGCCATTGTAACGCCGGTGGGAACGTTTTTTTACGGTCGATTTTCTAACAGTGTACAAATTCTGACACGATATCCTACCTTAAATTTAGGCCTTTTCATTCACAACAGTCTTCATCCCTGGTAATAAATCTACATAGACTATTTTACTATTCTGCACCACTAAAGCTTCACCAGGTGTCATTTTCATTGATCAAGCATAACTATTGTTAGAATTTTAAACTAAATCCTGTAAAAGTTTTCCACATTTCGTCTTGAAAGTTCGGTTAACTCTTTCAACAACTAGAGCTTTAGTTTCATTTTCAGTAACGAACCATTGAATTTTAAACTTCATGAAAAATTATTGTGTTGGCTTGCTTATGAATTCCAGACCTTTGTCTGTTTGAATTTTCGAGGGAATTCGTTCAGTGTAGAGCTTTTGGAAAGCGGTTTTCATATCTTCTCCAGTCTTTCTTCGTATAGGAACTGCTTTTGCATGTTTACTCGAGATATCAATCACAGCTAGAATGTAGTATTTACCTTTATCTGTATACTTCTGCATGCCAACTTAATTTGCCTGCCATTGATCATCGATTTTTGTTACATTGACCCTTGTGTTGAAATTTTGTTTTATTGGTTTATGTGGAGTTTATGTTTCCTGTGATTCCAACCAATCCATGACTTGCTTCCGAGATAAACTACTCCTATACGAACAAGTTCATTCATCCCCATGTAGCACGTTTTAGGATTGTAATAAATTTCATTCAGAATTTTACTTTTCACTACTGTGAGTGGACTTTTACGTTTTTTGATACTCCGAGACCTCCTTAATTTTTTCGAGCTGTTATAGCATTAACTAACATAGTTCTAACATACTCTGGCTTAGTAGGATCTATCGCAATTTCAGCCGCTTTATTTGTTAGTCTCTTTCTTCATTTAGTTCTTGCATGCATGCATACTACAAAATATATCGTGCTCTCTACCAGATCTAACCAATAAATTAACTCCTTCATATAACCTTCATAAAGTCTTTGTTGCACCTTAGTGCCAATGCCACAAAAGGAGTAGGTATGCTTATCAATGAAAGAACCTTTAATAAATTGCTCAGATTCAACGTTGGAGGGTAATTTTGAATGCCCTTCTGGCAGTGGTAATTTCTTTAACATCGTGTTAAAAACTTCACTACAAGTTTTTTATTACGTAGAAACGATTTTAATTGGTTTGAATATTCACTATTATCGGTTGATAGTAGCTCAGGACACTTTATTGATACACTTTCATTGTAGACTATCGATTTATTAGATTATTTTATACAGACTTTTATCAGCTTGCATGCATTACAGTGGTTTAGCGTACTAATACCGTCTGCTAATTCATGTCTTTCATCATCGTCACCATTCAGTGCAATCTTTTTTATCTCCTTCGTATATGATTCATGGTTATCACTTTGGATATTTATTATACATTGTTTATATATAGTCTTATTATTCAAAGCATTATATTCATCCATGGTGGTTTTCTTTTCAATGGCATTTCTCTTTACACCTTTAGCTTTTTTAGCTAAGGAACATTTTGTTCCATAACAATACAGCTTTGCTCGAAGACCGACAGTTTCTTCTGTGGGCAGTCCCCCACTTACATCTTTAATTTTACTGACTACTTTTTTGTTCTTATTTGATTATAGAAAATGTTCTTTAGGATAGTTCGATGTATCAAACGAGTCTTTTTTTATTCGTAATTTCTTCATCGAAGTCGTCGGTT